GTGTTTTGGAGGACCCCCGTTGCCATGCAGAGGTGACACTCACCTCGGCCTCACGCCAGGACAGAACAGCCCTGACCCCACCAGCCCAGCACGCTTGTTCCTTGTGCCCAGAGAGCCTCCAGAAGGATGCAGGGACATGGCGGAGCTGCTGGTGGTGGAGCCGTGGTCAGACACGTGGCACATGTGGGGATGTGGGCAGAGGGCGAGAGCAGGGTCTGCGCTGGCAGCAGCTCGAGCCCCTTCCTCCTGCTGACTCCGTGTCTCAGTGTCTGCTCAGCCTCAACCACAGCCTTTGAGGCTGGAAGCAACTGCACAGTGCCGGGAAGTGGCTGAGCTCTGCTGGGATGCCAGGGGCCGGCCCGTGTTGTGCAACAGAAAGAGGATGCTGCTGACATCTGTCCCACCCCGAGTGTCACTCTGCTGGGCTCTGGCTCTGAAGCAGCACGCACTGCTTCCAACAGGATCATGTCCCAGTCCCTTTTCACACCCTGGTCCCAGCAGTCTGTTGCTTGTGATAGAGTTGTGACATCCCTCTGTGTCCCTAATGCCTTTCCCAACCCAGCTAAGGAGCAGATCCTGGGATCCCAGCTGTAATCCCCTGCCCAGGGGCAGCACCATGGGTCCAGGCAGGATTTTCAGGCCAGACGCATGTGTGCACGTCAGGAATGATACGGCTGGTTAGAGATATTGTGGGTTTCAAACTGTGTTGAGGTTCTTGAAGTGCCTCATGCTCCAACTGCATCCTCCAGGGTTGCGGGGGGAGAAAGAGGGAGAAAATCCCCCATCACCTGCCTCCGTCAGCCAGCGCTGGAGCAAAATCCCTGCCTGGGGGCTCAGCTGCAGTGGTCCAAGGGGATTTAGTGCTGGTGGTGACCGGACAGCACCAGAGAGGAGCAAGTGTGTCCAGCCCAGCGCCGGGTCACTGCCTGTTATCACTGCCCTGAGTTGGGGCGGCCTCTGCTCTGCTGCTGTCCCCAAGGACACGTCCTCATGTCTGGCACCCGTTGATAAGGGGCTAGGGAAGGTGGGGGGCAGCCAGTGCTCCCCCTGGCCCTGGGCCAGCACCTGGACCCAGGCTCAGCCCTGGCTGAAGGGGCTTTCATGGGCAAAGCGTTGTTGTGGCCTTGGTGGCAGGTTCTAAGCAGCTGGTGTGGGGACAAGGCGGTGTCCTGGAGGGTCACAGCCTCACCAGGCTATCCCTGGGGGCAAAAACATCACCCTGATGGCACTGAATCAGTGGTGCTTTCCATGCTTCCAGGGCTGGACGGGCATGGAGATGGGATGCCGCAGGGCAGCTCGCGGAGCTCTGCCAGTCGCTGGGGAAGCCCCGGTGTGATGCTGGGTGTCACCCAGGGGAGTGACACATCCATGTCGCCAGGCTCCCCTCTCCCTGCCTCCATCCCTGGTGTGGGCAGCAGGAGGGGGTTCAGCTTCTTGTGTGTTCCAACAGCTCAAATCACCCCATTGTGCAGATGGGGGGGCAGGAGGACAACCCCAGCCCACCGAGCTGGCCAGCTCTGCCTGGGCTAGATGGTGCTGGGAAATGCCTGTTTTCCTGACTCAGCTCCTGACGGAGCAGCAGTTTGTGCTGAGTCAGCAGGTGCAGCCCTGGACAGGCACTCAGCACCCCCTGAGAACCAGATCATGGCTTAGGGGGCCCAGAGCTGGTGGGGACACCCCCAACCTCACCCAGACTCGCTTCATCCAGCAGGGCCAGGGGGTTCCAGAGGCACTGGAGAAGCTCGAGGCATGGAGCGCTGCGTATGGGCTTGGGGTGCCCAAGCAGCACCCAGGGGTCCTCCCTCACAGGGACCACTGGGCTTGGGGGACTGGGGCAGAGGGACGTAGAGCCCTGCCAGGCTTGTAATTACAGGCCTCACACTAAACCTGAGCCCATGGGGAGCAGAGGAAGCAGAAGTGTCTGACAGTGCAGGTGTCTGTCCTGGCCCTGCTCCATCTGGCTGGATGTTGGGAATTGGGATCTCTGGCCCTCATCCCCCCGTGCTTGGCTCCCTGTGCACTGTGGGACTGAGCCGTGGGGCTCAGCAGGGGAAACTCAGCCGAGGTTAGGTTTCAAACCTCCCCTTTGCTTCCACCTTTCTTTCCCTGGCGTGTCTGAAAGCGGAGCCATCAGCACCCACAGCACTGGGATGCTCAGAGATGCTCTGTGCTGCAGGGCCCCAGCTCCACTGGGCTGCTGTGGGGCTCCCACCTGGGCATCAAACATGGAATCAGAATAGTTAGGGTTGGAATTGCCGGGGATGGAGCATCCACCACTTCTCTGGGCACCCTGTTCCAGCACCTCAGCACCCTCACAGGGAAGAACTTCTGCCTTAGATCTAACCTAAACTTCTCCTGTAACATCTCTGCTGGTTGTGGGAGAGCACAGGACAAGTCCCTGCAGGACCCTGTGCCCCATCTCTGTCTCCTCTCCATCCCTGCTCACCTCCCATGTCCTCAGAGTCCATGGAGCTTATAGGGATGGGGAGCAGCTCCCCCTCCTGTAGGGCTGTGCTCACAAAGACCCCCCAGGCAGTCCCAGCCCCCTGAGTCCCCCTGTCCCTCTCCCCAGGTGACAGCTATGGGGTGCTGCCCCGGCCCTGCCGTGCACTGGTGCTGTTGAATCCCCAGAGCGGGGCTGGTCGTGCTCTCGAGGATTTCCAGGCAGTGGCGCAGCCCATGCTGGCTGAGGCCGATGTCGCTGCCACTGTCTTCGTCACTGGTGAGTCACCTCCTCCCACCCTGGGACCCTACCTGGGTGCTGCTGTGCTGGGACAGGCTCCTCTGAGGGGCTCGTACCCCCAACATCACCTGGTTGGGATGAACATGATGGGGGGGTTGGTGCTGCCTCACCTCCTGCAGCCCTGGCTGGGGCTCCCGTGGGGAAACTGGGGCTGGGGTCACTGCCCAGGGGGTGGCAGTGGGCAGGGCAGGGCCAGGGCATGGAGGATGATGCTCGACTCTCTGCTTTCACCTGCAGAGAGACCCCACCATGCACACGAGAAGGTGCGGGATGAGGACCTGTCGCAGTGGGACACGCTGGTGGTGATGTCTGGAGATGGGCTGTTGTATGAGGTGAGGGGCATCACGGGGCATCCCCCTGGCCAGGCTGGGCAGAACAGGGTGCCTGGGGCAGGTGCTGAGCTTTGAGAGAGGAAGGCAGGTGAGGAACAGCCTTGGGCCTGCCGGGTTCCTGCCACAAGCTGCCTCCATCCTGCAGGTGGTGAATGGCCTCATGGAGCGGCCGGACTGGGAGGAGGCCATGAAGAAGCCAAAAAAAAGGGGAATGCCTTGGCTGCCTCCATCAACTACTATGCGGGGTGATCCCCGTGGGGAGCGGGATGGGGGGAAGAAAGGCTCCATCCCAGCTGGTCCTTGCACAGCAGGGTCCCTCTGGGTCCTCACCTCCCTGCAGGCTGGTCCCTGTGAGCATCAGGCTACACCCCCACATCCCCCCTCCTCTCCAGGCTCTGAGTCTGGCAAAACTTCTCCCTAAAGGATCCACCCCAGGCAGAGCTGATCCTGCTGCAGGGCTGTGGACCAGGATTGCCCTGAACCAGCAGCCCCAGCTTGGGTCTGTCTTTTGGAGCTGGTTTATACTTCCCACCCCAAGCAAAACCTCTCCCAGCAGCTGTCCCTGAGGGACACTGTCACCCAGCTGGGATATGTCCCAACATATGGGTACAACACAGGGGGGGGTCGCACGTGGATGCTGGGTACAGCCCAAACTTACCTTTCTCCATCCCTCACAGCAATGATCACGTCGCCAAGAAGAAGCTGCTGACAAACTGCACCTTCATCCTGTGCAAGGGGCTGCACACACAGATGGACCTGGTCTCGCTGAGCACGGCCTCGGGCAAGCGCCTCTTCTCCTTCCTGGGCTTTGGCTGGGGCTTCATCTCAGACGTGGACATCGACAGTGAGAAGTACCGCTGGCTGGGCAATGCCCGCTTCACACTGGGCACGCTGCAGTGC